CTGTGGCCTATTAAAACTGTGTGAAGCAATTTTTGCTCAGATGTCAATATGGATATGTTGCAGTTTTATTCATCTTCTGTGTGTTTGTGTTGGGTTTTTTTGGGTTTTTTGGTGGGGTTTTTTGGGTTTGCTTTTTTGGGGGGGTGTCATGGGGTTTTTTTGGGGGGTGTCATGGGGTGGCTTTACCTTAGCTCCTTTTGGGAGCTAAGGAAGTTGAAGCTGCTGGTGACTGATGGGAGTCTTTCCTCCTGACCAATTATCAGTCATTTCTAAGAATTGACAGCAGTTTTGACCATTAAAAAGTGAAGTCAACTTGTGAACACCTCCTTAAGATGTACAGCCAAAGCTCTCTTGTCCTGTTTGTGTTTCTGGCTTCTGGAAAGGTAACAGGCTCTGTCTTGGCCCTCTCCCCCTTCAGGCCAGACAAGGCTGCAGGGTGGGGTGGGGGAGAAGCAGAGCTGGCCAGCCTGGTTTAGAGACAATCAACATGAAGAAGACATCATAAACCCACTAAAAACAGTGAAGAAAAGAGTTAAGTTTTAAATGGGGAGAGAATAAGGAGATGCTTTATAAGCTGAAATATCTTTCTGTTAAAGCTATGGAGATGGACAATAGTAGTTTGAAAAAACTCCTTTAATTCATGACAGAGTATATTGAGAGGAATAGAGTGTTCAAAGTGTAGATTTTGAGCAAAAGAGAGAATAATTGTGATACAGTAAAGTGCTGGAACAGAGTGAAGCAAAGATTTGAGGCCTTGAGGGCAATGAGAAAACTGTTTCCAGGGAAGCTCACAAAGACAGATGAAGAGGACTTTTGCCTTTGAATAACTCATCCTTAAAATGACATCCCTAGACTCATGACCCATACACACCTCAGAGTGATGTGAAATGAGAGGAGTGAACTCTGATGACAGGATTTCCGGGCAGCTGGCATCAGAAAAATAGAAAACTATAACAGAAATAGTTTTTTCATGAGAAACTCCATAAATTAGCAGAAGAAGACTTCTGTTTCTCTACAAAGGCTGATGAAAAGACTCTAGCAGGAATTGGGACTGTTTTAACCACCAAAGTTCTAAAGTTTTTCTGTCTCTGTTGTCATGTGAACAAAAGAATGATCAGGTAGTGGGGGATAAAAGAGTATTCTGGAAGTTTATTCTGGTGTTTTTATTCCTGTAGTTTTGTTAATAAACTTTTTTTATTCCTTTTATGTTTTAAGCCTGTTCTGCTCTTGTTCTAATCCATATCTCACAGCAAGAAATAAGTAATTTTTTTAGTTACTGCTTTAAAACCACAACAGGGGGGTTGGGGGAGGGGGGCTGGTTTTTTTGTTTGCTTTTTGAGGTTTTTTTTGCCAACAACTTTTCAATTGTAAGACAAGAATCATGTTGTCTCTTGGGTAGCCTGATGGCTGCCAGGTCCCTGTCAGATAGGGAAGCCAGGGCCACAGAAAAGCAAATTTGAGGGAGGGCTGGGGTGTTGTTGTGCAGTTGTGCCCCTGCACAGACCTGTAAATCATGATTACTGCATCAGTGGCAGCAGGCAGGGTCAGTCTGAGCAGCTTTCTTGCAAGTGGTGGATAATCCAGATGACCACACTGTGTGATCTGAGCTGCCAGTTTAGCTCAGCTTCAGGTGTCTTGGAAGATGCTGTAGCTGCTGTGAGGGAGCTCTCTGGAAGGAGGACAGGGGACAAAGGCAGAGCCCACAGCCACATGCTGCCACCCACCCCCCTGGGCTGAAGATCTCCCAGAGGGTCACGTTCCTCCCTGCTGAACAGGTCTGTGTAAGGGGAACTGGGCTGCTTTTTCTTGCTTGGGGCTCTGTGATTCCTAGACTTCAGTCACGGTTTAGCTGTTCCCAGCTTAAAAAAAAGAATACCTAAAAATCCCTGCATGCTTTTAGTGAATGCTTTTAGAGGCTCTTTGAACGGGGTGGTTTGTGAACAGGGGCATTGCCTCTTGTCAGCCTTCCCCTGAGTGTAGGAGGGAACAGAGGCTCCAGTGCCAGGGTGTCCTTGGGTCTGTGTCCCCCAGGGAGCTGCCCTGGGCCTGCCAGGGCCAGAGCAGAGGCCACAGAGCCTGATATGCTGCCTGGTGCCAGCTGCTGCTCCTGGGGAGGGAGCTGGGGCTCTCTGCAAAGGTGTCCATCCTTCA